GTCCCGGAAGATCCACTTGGAAACCTTATATATCACTAAGAGCATCCCCAATGTGCCGGGAACTGGAAACCTGGTACAGGTGTCACAAATGACACTTGGACACCTGTATTTCAGCTTCAGCTTCAGTAGGCAGCACCGCGCAAGCTGAATATGAGCTTTGGGTTTCTACCCCTATCTAAGGATAGGACACAACCAGATCAATTGCATGGATCACCGCTTGATCTGATTGAGGTTGTGGTGATATGTGCTTCAAACTGTTGAGATAGGACACGAAGGAACAAAAGAGGCAAGTTTTGTTGTCTCAACGTGTGCAAATTGTGAGAAATCACATTTTCAGAGGTTTCTGGCTCAGCTAGAAACAATTAGAACGGGCCGTACATATTCCAGCTGGTGGAATAAACAAAGTCACGCCCATGGCCAACTGTGCAACTTTTTACTCACGCTGGAGGCTGTTTTTTGGAAAATCTTTGCAAACATAATTTTGACATTACGTTTCTGTCAGAAATTTTAGGCAAACCCTATGTAAAGGTTATGTTTCCGGCGGCGTGTTGGGGATGCTCTAATACCACCATGGTGAGGAGTACACGTCTGTTAGGCATACTCTTCACAGAAAATAGAGTAGGAAAAGGAAGGTGTGGTCTTCACGTGGTACACCCAAGTGAAGACTACAGCTAGTTGACCTCTAAGAAGAGGATTTGAGAAAGGGAAAGGAAAGATAAGGGCAATAAAGAGCTAATGTTCTCTAACCTTGTGAGACTGTGAGGGGCAGGCTTTACACTTTGGTAAACCAAAGATCCTGAAGGCTACTTTAGACTCCTTAAAAAGGAGGAAGCTTTGCTACTTTAAGGTTTATTTCTAGAGACAATGAATGCCCTGGGCTCTTAGAAATCAGTACCTTGGGTGTTCAGCAATGGAACCTGTAATTCTCAAGAATGGTCTTTAACAAGCTACACAACTAACCACGTACTTGAAGATCCTCTCAGTAGGAGTCAAGTAAAATGTGGTTCTGTGTTGTGATTTTAGTAAAAAGATGGGGGGTGATTCTAGGGAAGAAGGGGGGGTTTATATAGTCTCAGTTTCAGCGTCAACTTTTGGTTGGCGTGTGAGTCTTGTCTATTCACGTGTCAACTTGTGGTTGACACTTGGGTTAGGTTTACTATGTATTTAATACATTACATACATGTGTTTAAGTGGATCTTGACACTGAGCCTTGAGATGTAGCTTATGGCTTTATACAATATTTTGATATTACATATGGTACTGTTAGCCCATGGTACTGTAATTAGGGCTCAGGGCTGACAACCATCACATATGTAAACTACCCGTAAAACCCTTTTTTACCAACTTTGAAAAAGTGCTGTTTTCCTAATAACTTTTATTGCTCCTTATCAGCCATCAATATTAAAATTACCACTGTCTAATATAATTATTTTCCTTCATATTATAATCTCCCAAAACCCATAAACCTAATATTACTACCCTAAAAGCCATTTCCTAGCCTGTATACCTATATTTTTGACTTTTTCCAATGTTTTTGTTTATTTTCTTTTCACAATCATTTTGCTAATAATTCCTATTCATCTTAATAATTTGTTTGAAATAAAACAGCCTCATCATATTGTAATTTGCAATTTATAAGCCTTAAATAGCTTCTATTGATCAGATTTCATCAATTTTGAATTTTTCTTTACACTGAGCTTTTCTAATAACTTGGTAAACTACTTATGATTAACTTTCTTTGATTGATCCCATAAATTGATCACCACACCGGGATCCATGATGATGAGCTTGAGCTTCCGTGGAAGAAACCAACACAGACCATCACTGAACTATGAACCAACTTGAGAGAGGGTACCAAACAGGATGCATCATATTTTTCAGCCACTTTTTGCCACACCCAAACCTTTGAATATGGCTTTCCAATCTTGAAGGTGGATTCATTGGTCCAAATGACTCGCTTCCAATTGTCCACTATCCACGCTGAATAGTTCTTTGCAGATTCAAGATGTCACTTTATGTTTATCACTCAGATAGGGCTTGACAATTGCTACTACCAAGTTGTAAGCAAGGAATTTCAGAGCCAGTTAGATTGTAGTAGCACTTGCTTTTGTTGCAGATCCCTGGAATATATCACAAATGGGATCTTGTTGAGACTGTTTGACATCACACTCAAGATTTTGGAGATTGCAATTGGTCAACAGGGATGGTTGACTCAACAGTTTTTGATGCTCAACTGAACCTTTGATCTTGAATCTAGCAATGACAGATTGAACTGTTGTGACTGGACACCCAAGGGCATTGCTGACTTCACTGTTCCTCATGTTTTCTAGGTGCATTCCAACCATATGGTTTTGATATCAGATGCTAAGGGCTTCATGTCAAAAATTTGAGAAGTTATGAATGAGATGTTTGACCACAAGATCTCAACAGAAAGAATTGCAATCTCCCAAAATCCAAAAAATAAAACCATAGCTTTTACACCACTACATGTACCATCTTGACTTGCAGTTCAAAGCTGTTTTAGGTAAGCTGGCTTTACCATCAATCTTCTTTGTTTTACTACCTTTGAGCCTTAAAACAGTGGTGTTCCAAACTGGGGCTTTGAATCCATGAGCACTTGCAGCATTCTTGGGTCCAGTGGGTTTGTCATTGCATGTCACATGGTGGGTGTGGCGTGAAAAGCGCACCCTTGGGGAGCACCCGGGGCGTACACCCTGGGCGTGCCCTAGTTATATAGCTAGGCAAATGCTGCTAATGGGCCACGTGAAGCGGGATAGCTTCCTATGAACCACCTTGATTTTCACCAATTAACACCTTCAGAATACTTTCAAAGTTAATCAATTTCATCCTAACTTCGAACACTGTAAAGTTTACACCAACACATCATCAAGATATGCCCAAAGTTAAAAAGAAACATACATTTGAGATACTCCAAATACCCACAATCTCAAGACCTTTTCTGTGAAGCTCTTTGGAATTGTAGCTCACGCTGCTGGGGTCAAAAGCCTGTTTTCTGGGATGGTAGCTCAAAAAACAAAGTCTTGTCCACATATGAATGTCACCACTCCCAAGATGATGTCTCAGATTGATATGAATCTTCGATCTGAGAACCCAAAACATTCATCCAATCTTTCATCCAAACACCACACTGTCAACATATCCAATGATGCTCTCAAAGATGTACAGTTTGAAGATATGGATTAACTTCAAGAATTTGAGGACAGAGTTCATTATGATGATACTGAAGACCCCAAAGATTCTCAATTAAATTGATTAGAATACATGGATACACTCTTCAACACCAGTCTATTTAATAATGAAAAAGTTTTGGAGAAGGTGATACAGATATGATTGATGTGTCTCACTCTCCTCCTGAAGATGAGGATTGGAACGAGGAACATCTCTTTATGTGATAAATGTAGTAAAGGTGTTTAAATGTCATACAAAATAAAAAATCTACACTTATAAGAGGCTTTGGTGCCTCGTTTTTTCCAGAAAAAAAAGCTCTTTTATCCTGGGGGTGTGCCCTGACACCCCCACCAAAGGCGCACCTTTCAAAAATCAAAAAGGAGCACCCTGGCACTCCCCAAATCCAAAACCCATGCTCCCACGTGAATTGCATGGCTGGTGTTGAGCAGACATAGATCAGGGTGATCTCATTGTCACATTTAACAAAGTCCCACTTCTTCTTGTCTGTTTTGTTTCCAGGTCAAGTGGTAGGTTGGGTGGCAGGTTCGGTTCCAGACAGAACTGTTTGGATGGCTTTTCTAGCCCAAGGTCTAGCTATCTTCTTGGGGGTAGCCATTGAGAAAGACAGACTAAGACTGAAATCATCAAGAAGAACCAGCTCAAGATGATGATAACAATGAAAAGTAAAAAAAATCACCATAGGCTTGACCCAGTAAAAAGGACTTGAGACTTGAGGAACTAAAAAGATAGCAGACATGACCCAGTAAAAAGATAGCAGACTTGAGAGACTATGAAGCTGACATTAAAGAGCTAAAACAAATAATTTCAATTTGAAAAACCAACTTGGGCAAAGCATAGCAGGCTTGAGCAAGTAAAAAGAAGAGATTGAACTTGAGGAAATAAGAAGCCAACGATAACAAGATAAAATGAATAATTTTGATTTGAAAAGAGGCTAGAACTGGGATAGTCTTGAAATAGAAGACTGTCTGAAAAGAAAGAAATGTTGATTGAGGAACTACCAGACTTTGAATATCTGGTTGAGTTTGTAGAAAGATACTCTCTGGCATGTTGTTACAATTTTGGTGTGAAATCTTGTCAGAGAGTATCTTGTCGCGGTATCCAAACTGACCCTTGCCAATGCACAAAGTGATTCCCAGGTTCTTTTTTTAAAAAAAGCATTATGCTGGGTTCCACTGTGAGGTGTACCTTTATATTATTTTGAACTGATGCATCGCACATATAAGGCGGACTTATTTCTCAATTATAGCTGGCTTATAAAGAGCGGCGACTGGGTATTGATCCATGGGTTGCAAAGGAGCCCCTGAGAGACTTGCATTTCCCAGGTCAGGTCTGCTTGAAAGTTGACATACCAGTCCTCACAGCAGATGCTCACGTAGTCTCGGGAGCGCACCCAGGGTTGAAAATTGGTCTTCTTATTCGCAACCAAGGATTCCGATGGAAGCCCCGTATCTCATAAAATGGTGGCAGCATGATAAGGCAAAGCACAAATCCCGAGCAGACATCAACACTGACAAGGTCACATAATTAAGAGATAATAAATCTTGTAATCGTCAACTTGACTGAGCAGTAACACTTGGTCCGGTTTGAAATACTCCCACATGAATCCAGATCCTGAAGTGATGGAATCAGTCATGAGAGGCGGTTTTGGGAGGCTCGAATAAAAGGAGTTGAGCTCGCAGTAGGCAAATGATTGGCGACGTTGAAGAAACATTGTAGTTAAACTCATAGGGTAAGGCATGTGTAGGATGATCATACAGGATTATAAGAATCTTTCAATCGATTGCTTAGATTTATGCATCATTGGTTTCAACAACTTGTGTTTCCAATCCCTATATAAATCAAAAATTCCATAACCATCATGAATGAAATTAGTAAATGATCGGAAGTTTGGATAGCAATACTTGAGATAAGCTGAATAGTTTAATTGAAAGAGTTGACTTGCCTTGAATTCAACCACGTCAACAAAAGTAGCTAAAGTGTAAAGCTTCTCTTTTGAGTCCTCGTCATCGTGACGCTGACCTACAATGCGTGAAGATATAATCAGCTACCCATTTTATAAGGACACAAAATGGGGGACACAGCGAGAGAGAAAAGAGGAATCATCAAAAAGATACATACGAGCAAGCCTGACTCGAATCCTCCGTGGTACGTTCCTGATACCCTTGTTCCAAATGGCAGCGTTGAGAGAAGGATCAATTCGAACATCTTGAGTTCCCATAGCCTTACGAGCAAATTCAGTAACAGCCTTCACAGCTCTTGGGGCCCTCTAATTTCATGAAAACATCATCTCGATTCAGGCAAATGATCTTGATTTCGATGACTTGAGTTCTGAATTATCCCTTACCTTCTTGAATCCAAGACCGTGAACGTGTTTGTGTAGGTGGATTGTGTATTCACGAGTTACCACATCGGATAGAGCCGATCGAGTCTTTCGTTCCTTCTTCTCTGGAGCCATCTAGAAAATTGAGTCTAAGGAGAAAGTTGGAGATTGAGATGGTTTCTTTCTTTGATTTTATCACAAAACCAAACCTTCAGCATAACATAGAGAACGAATCGGACACTCACAAATGAGAATTTTTACCTTGAGCTGTTTCGGCAACTTGAGAGGGCGCGGGCTGACGGTGGGCGTTGGGCCTCGGTTAGTTTACACACATAATCTGTTGTCGTGTGACCTGTGTAGCGATTCTCATCACATTAGGGTTAAAGACAGTCCTCGATTCGAATCACGCCTGGCTTATGATTTCTAACCTTCAAATTTCGATTAGGTTTCTGATCTCCTGTTGGAGAGACAATCCCCGAATGGCCAAGTGACGAAAGAAAACTTCAATCCAGATCATCAACTTTATTTCGTACTGAGCTTGTTCTAGGCTTTTCCTAGCTACCTCTCCTCATCAGCGTCCCATGGCATTTTTTAGGAGTTTGTTCAGGTCTGCTCTAGAAAACCAAGACGAAATAGGCAAGGCAGGAAGCAAACATATCAAACGGAGATATCATTTTGCGGTTGTCTGATTTTACTCGGCCTACATCAACACGCGTTTCTCAGCGAGGGGAATAGCTCACGTCTTCCATAATTTTTGCGAACCTAGCCAGTCAACCAGAAGAGAGGTATCTTTTCTGAATTCACTTTCAATTACCACTCCATTCCCTTGTCCGATTGCCTTATTAATTTCGAGAAAACCAACAAAGAAATGATCATGAAATTCAAATCATTTGCTTCAAAGACTGCTATGAAGGTCCTGAGATCGATTCAAGATGCCTAACTTATCTCAATGTCTCAGGAGATAAATGATGATTGCTTTACCGTATGTTCCTTCCCAGCGAGGAATTTCAACATTCTTGAAAAGCCCACAAGTATACGGCTTGTGGATTAATGCTTGAGTCTTCTTGAGTCTTCTTGACATTCAATAGGCATTTGGTGATAAATCCATCAATCTTGCTCTCTTCTTCTAGGAAGTCTCTTTGCCGGATCTCATCATATGATTTAAACTGGACAATTGCCGCCCAGCCGCCACACAGGGATGGGCATGAAAATGCCTTACATGTACCTTACAGTCACATCATGAATGTCATCCAAAATAAATACATGCAATTATGATTATGTGTTGATATCATTTGTGCACAATGTGAAAACCTTGAGGTTATTTACTTGTGGTTGATGTCCTATTGACTAAGTGAAATAAGTGAATCATTCGTTGAAAGAACAACAAACTGAGAATACCTAAGAACTGGATAAGCAATGTCTGCAGACAATTGGAATCATTTAAAAATTAATTCATATTTACCAAGCAGCTCCAGTGTGGCTCTTGTGACAGTCTGGGCGGAAGAAAGCACAATGAAGAGAAGTATTTCCTCCTCAGCTGAACTGCCTTCTCTTTCTCCATTTTCCTGTGACATACTTGCATTCTTATCTCATCTCGCCTATAGATGTAACCAGCTTTCATTTTGAACTCTTTTCAGTTGTTGATTTTCTCTTCCCACCCTTCCTCACCAGGGTTCTTTTGTGAAGGTATAGTATCATCAAACAGTCAAATCTGTCCCTTTCTGACTGAAAGTTGAAAATCACAAAGATATTTAGAAGAAAATAAGATGGCATTGAAGAGTAACATAAGTCTGTAACCATTTTGAGATTCATTTTCATGTAGGTTTCTATGTATTCAAAGCTTTTGATTTGGCAATATTTCCCAGTTTCTTCTCAAATACATTCACACTTGCCTTTACATGGACTATGCCTGCATCCAGCGACTTCAATTCTGTCTGCTTTGTTTTTGATTCACCCTGAATTTTTAAATCTTCTATATGCCCATGTCCATCAATGTTTACTGTCTTTAGCTTATCAAAAATTGACTATCACTCAAATTCAAAGATTCTGTTGATCAAGTAATCAATATTAAAAGCAAACAATCAAGCAGAGAGTTGCAATGATGTGCCACAAATACAACAATGTAATAATAGAATTGGTCCATGTAATAAGGTCATGTTCAGCCCTTCACAATTGCGGAAAACCTGCAGTGCTTACCACAATGACCCAAGTTTAAAAGGAATTGCTCAGAAGCAAATGTTAGACAAAGGTTGTCTTAATTTGCTGCTGATCTGCCATTTAGTCATCTTCACACATGATATTGTTCATGTATTACTTGAGTGCACCAAGACCTGCCTGGCTACGCTCTTGTCCTTGAAACCTCACCGAAGGCACACTTTTGTTAGTTAATAAGGCACAGTGGGGTGGAAGAGATATATTCAAGAAGTGATCAAATATACATCAGATTTTGAAGTTTGGTTTCAAGCTAATGAATCAAAAAAGTCTTATAAACAGACAGTGCCTAGAAATTAATCTCTGTCAGTCGGGGGTATCTCCCCATCATGCTACTCTATCAAGCCACCTTTTGTGAGTACATCAAGAGCGTTATCAACAACAATCTCAAGCCGAAGGTGGCCAGGTGATTCTGCAGCAACCCTATAGTTCTGTGGGTTTTCTGATGAGAAGAAGCAGGTCATGCTTATCAGAAACGTGATCTAGAAAGATTGGAATCAAGACCTCACTTTGAATCCTAATCAAAAATATATGAGTTTTGAATCCATCACAATGGGGACATGGCTTGTAATGGTACCAATGTGAACCTGAGAGTTGATGTGCTTACTCACATTCTACAGAGGCACTATGTCAGAGGCTGAGCGCAATACTTGGGTTCCTTTTGTAAAGGTTCAATGCTGTGGGGATCTAGATTCAACAAGTGCAAGGTTTTGATTGTGGCCAATCCAAACACAGTTTGGCAATAATCTGTTTCAGCAATGACTATCCATCTCAAAGATATATTTTACAAGTGGATGACAAAAGTTCATTATGGCTTGCCAAATTTGTTAAGGCCATCAAGTGAAGTGACCAAAATCCTTGTAAAATGCAATAGCATACCATGGGAACACTCAGCTCACACTGCTGGAGTCAAAAGTCTTTTTTCTGGGATGTCTGCTCAGGAGACAAAGTCTTGCCCACATATGAACGTCACCACCCTCAAAATGATGTCTCAGATTGAGATGAATCTTCAATCTGAGAACCCAAAACGTTCAGCCAATTCCTCATCCAAAGACAATACTATCAAAGAATCCAATGATAATCTCAATAACCAAGATGTACAATTTGAAAATATAGATCAACTTCAAGAATTTGAGGACAGAGTTCATTGTGACCATATAAAAATGAAAAAGGTTTGGACAACCCTGTGCCAGCAACGCAACGCACCGCAACACGAGTGTTTTTTGGTGCGTTGCTCCGCAACACGCAGCACAAACCTGCATTACATGCTGCGCTGCGGTAAGTACCGTAACAACAAAAGGTGAGGTCAGGTTGCGCGGCGCCTTGACCGTCGCGCAACGCAACAGGCGCAACAGCGCCAAAAAAACGCCGAACTGTGATTTTTTTTGGGCAGCAACACAACAAATGTTGTTGCGGCCCAAAAAATCCATCGATTTGACAAATGATGTTGCGCTGCGGGTCAGGCCGCAACCTAGAATTTGATTCTATGTTGCGCTGCGGTCAGAAAAACCGCAACGCAGGCGCAGCGCAACACGCAACACCTGCATTGCTGGCCCAGGGTTGGTTTGGATAAAGAAGGTGATGCAATTATGATTGATGTGTCTACTCATGAAGATGATGATTGGAATGAAGAAGATCTTTTTTTGTGATAAAATGTTGTATCTACAGTATGTACAAGTGTTTAACTGACATACAAAATCAGAAGAAATCTATGATTATGAAAGGCCTCATCTTTTTTTTTAAAAAAAAAATCCTGGGAGCGCGCCCCCACCAAAGGTGCACCTTTGACAAAGCAAAAAGATGTGCCCTGGCGCGCCCCAAATCAAAAAACCATTCCCCCCACGTGAGTCTACTGTCAATGTCACTGCCTGCATAGCTGCCTCATGAAAAGGGCACCTGAGGACTACGTCTGAGGCAAGATTTGGCTGTTGCCACTGCCTTGGATCAGATCCTTGGTGGGAGCTTCCCTCAGAGTTGAAATCCAAGAACTCCTCAGATTTTTGCATTCAAGCCAAATATGCTAGCTATACGCGTGTCAGTGTCTCACTACAATTTGTCATGGGCCTCAGTCAACAGAGCCACTATACTATACAGTATTGTGATACTGTAGTATAGTACTGAGTTTTCACTACTATACCCATAATTCCATCGATCATCAATCCAGTTCCAAATGAAAATCCAACAAAACCTCAACGATTAAAATTCAAATCAAACTACTCAATTGAGTATAGTATAGTCAAGAGGGAAAGGCACCCATAATTCCATCGATCATCAATCCAGTTCCAAATGAAAATCCAACAAAACCTCAACGATTAAAATTCAAATCAAACTACTCAAATCCTCTCATCCTACATGAGTTATTGAGAACCCCATCTTTTCAATCTTGTCCTTCTTGACACTAAAAACAAAAAAGCATCAAAACATAAAAGAATAATCAATCCATCATTCGATCAATCATTGGAACAATCACACAAAGAAAATCATGATCAAATTAACAATGAACCAAAATTTAAACCAACCTCTTGAAAAAACTTATTGAAATCAAATCAAAACTTATTGGAATCGAATCAAAACTTATCATGAAATCGAATCAAAACTTATCATGAAATCGAATCAAAACTTATCATGAAATCGAATCAAAACTTATCGGAATCGAATCAAAACTTAGTGGAATGAAATCAAAACCAAAATCAAATCAAAATCAAGACTCGATCTCAAAATGAAATCAGAAGAATTGACAGCTGATTTCAAAAGTAACGATAGATTCAAATTCAAACAAAGGATGATCAATAAAGAGACTCGAGGTAATTTTTCTGATCGAGGGCTCTCATCCTCCATTGACTATCTCCATGTCTGATCCTATCTATCTCATTTGTAGCCAACAAGTGTACAAATTGTTTTGATTTTCATTGAAGTACTTGAAATTAACAAAGTAGGAGCTTGATTTTCTGTTGGGTTATGATAATAGATAAGCTGCAAGAGAATGAACGAGACAACTTTGAAACTATCTATTATCTAATGCCAATAAGGGGGAAAACCTTCAAGGGTCCCTTCATTCTTGATGCCTATATCAATTCTA